TGTGGCGCACGTGCTATTGCACGTGCCGTGGCACGGGGTCAATTTTTGTTCTTAAATACACTCGCATTGTGAAATGCAAGGAATGGGGGAAATAGCCGTCAGGCCGTCAGTTTTTATGATAGAGTCGATCTGAAAACGGGTATAGACAGAGAATGAACGGTGCTAGAAAACTGCTATCTCGGATTTTTTGTAAAATGAAAAATTTAAAATTCTAGGGAAATTATATATTAGAAAGGTGAAATTTCCCTAAATTTTCCCGTTTTTCAAGTTTAGCCGTCCACTCTTCAGAGACGGTGACACCGGCCGGGGTCATCTTTTACATGCCGATGGCCACTTATATTGGTCATGACGTGGCGTGAGCCGTTAAGCTGTCAAAGGTCTGGCACGTGCCACGTGGCCACGTGTTTGAGCCGAGTACCTCCAACATAATGGTGTTTTGTCCAACTGGTGGCCGTATAACGTGGAAACAGAACCAGCCAAGAACACTAAATTGGGTCAGTCGGTGAGGGGACAGGTCCTGCTTTCATCACCAGTGGTCACGTGGCACACGTATTCAGCTGGGCTCCTCCTTTGCGGAGATATTTTATCGTGAAATATTCAAACGTCCATAACTTTCTCAAATATGGTCCGATTGGGTTCAAATTTGGTGGATGGATGAATTGTTAAGCGACATGAACGAATGCGCCATGTTTGTTGCAGTGCGCCACGTTTGTCTCAAAGCGCCATTTTTGCCGCAAAGCGCAGAATGTGCGTAACTTTGTCGAACATTGGACGATTAGGATGCGCTGTAATTAAGGGATGGCTGCTTAAACGGCAGATATGAATGCACCACATTTGCCGCAGGGCGCCATATTTGTCTTAATGCGTCAGTGTTTGCGTTTTGCCTACGGCGGGCGCTTTTTTTGCGGCGGTGTTTGCGTTTCTTCGGTGTTTGCGTTTGACGGCGGGCGGCCGTTTTTGCGTTTTTGGCGGTGTTTGCGTTTGGCGGCGGGCGGCCGTTCTTTGCGGCGTTTTGCGGTTGGCGGCGGGCGTGCGGGCGTTGCGGGCGTTTTTTGCGGCGGTGTTTGCGTTTTTTGCGGTTTTTGTGTTTGGCGGCGGGCGGGCGGGCGATGCGGGTGTTTTTGCGGTGTTTGCGTTTGGCGGCGGACGGCCGTTTCAGCGGCGGTTTGCGGTGGGCGGCCGTTTTTTTTGCGGCGTTTTGCGGTTTGCGGCGGGCGGCCGTTTTTTTGCGGCGTTGTTGCGGTTTGCGGCGGGCGGCCGTTTTTTGCGGCGTTTTTTGTGGTTTGCGGCGGGCGGCCGTTTTTTGCGGCGTTTTGCGGTTGCCGGCGGCCGGGCGTTATTTGCGTTGTTGCGGTTTGCGGCGGGCGGCCGTTTTTTTTGCGCCGTTTCGCCGTTGGCGGCGGGCGATGCGGGCGTTTTTTGAGGCGGCGGTGTTTGCGTTTTTTTTTCGGTGTTTGCGTTTTGCGGCGGACGGGCTTTTTTGCGGCGTTTTTTGCGTTTTTTCTGCGGTTTTCGGCGGGCGGGCGATTGTTTTTTTTTTGCGAAGTTTGCGTTTGCGTTTTAGGCGTGCGTTTTGCGGTGTTTGCGTTTGGCGGCGGGCGGGCGGTTTTTCACAATTAAAGTCCCAACCTTCGGATCCGCAGTGCTGTTCGACAAGCGCTGCCCGGGCCTAGTGTAGGGGTAGGGTAGGGTAGGGTAGGGTAGGTTAGGGTAGTGTAGGGTAAGGTAGGGTAGGGTAAGGTAGGGTAGGGTAAGGGTAGGGTAGGGTAGGGTAGTGTAAGGGTAGGGTAGGGTAAGGTAGGGTAGGGTAGTAGGGTAGTGTAGGGACTAGGGTAGGGTAGGGAAGGGGTAGGATAGGGTAGGGGTAGGGTAGGGTAGTGTAAGGGTAGGATAGGGTAGGGTAGGGTAGGGTAGGGGTAGGGTAGGGTAGGGTAGGGTGAGGGTAGGGTAGGGTAGGGTAGTGTAAGGTTAGGGTAGGGTAGGGAAGGGAAGGGTAGGGTAGGGTAGTGTAGGGGTAGGGTATGGTAGGGTAGGGTATGGTAGGGTAGGGTAGGGTAGGGTAGGGGTGGGGTAGGGTAGGGTAGGGTAAGGGTAGGGTAGGGTAGTGTAAGGGTAGGGTAGGGTAGGGTAGGGGAGGGTAGGGTAGGGTAGGGTATGGTATGGTAGGGTAGGGTAGGGTAGTGTAGGGGTAGGGGTAAGGGTAAGGGTAGGGAAGGGTATGGTATGGTAGGGTAGGGTAGTGTAAGGGTAGGGTAGGGTAGGGTAGGGTAGTGTAGGGGTAGGGTAGGGTTGGGTAGGGTAGGGTAGGGTAGGGTAGGGTAGGGTAGGGTAGTGTAAGGGTAGGGTAGGGTAGGGTAGGGTAGGGTAGGGTAGGGTAGGGTAGGGTAGGGTAGGGTAGGGTAGGGTAGGGTAGGGTTGAATTGAGTAACATCCTAACTTACAAAGGGCTCGAACAACTTGCATGCATCACCATCATACTTAGTTCAATTAAAAGCAGTTACCCAGTTCTTCACAAATAATACCAATAAAAATGCAAGTTTCTACACGCAAACTAATGCATCCGTTAATCATACATATCAAAACATACAGTTATCGCGTAAACCTGTACCTCTAGTATTAGTAAATCATAAAATACCTTACTTTTTCAAATAAAATCTTATGACCTTGAAGTCTAGTGATGTGTAAACATTGTCGCTAGACATTAACCGATTGATAATTGTATGATAATCGACAATTTTTTTCGCGATTCACGTGATGATACTTTGTCAGGTGAATTCTAAAATTTTGTTTTGTCCAGGGAATAAATCATAGGCCGATCTGAGAAAACTTTTTGAAGGTGGCAGTCTTCCTTTAAAAGTGTAATTTGTGTGACTAAAAATACGCGTTGCCATTCTACAGCGGTAAAGTTCACGTAGCGTGTTTTAACGCGCGTAATTGCACGTTTTCGGCATTACCCCAGCCAGCCATACTTTCATTTGCAGGCCCATAACTTTTCAACGTGCTGCATAAATTTCAAATAGGCAGCACACTTGTGCAAAGACGTGCTGAAGATTAGGTACTTGACCGAATTGGCCAGACAAACGGTAGCATAATGAGTAGGAAATGCAGCTTCGAAGACGCATGTAGTACAAAGGAAACGTACCTTGAAAACGCTCTTGGCGCCCTCACAGCCGAAGTATTCCGAATGACGACTGGTAACAAACATGCGATAATTGGTAGTCACTTAAGCTTCAGAGCATCACTGACAGGTGGCATCCATGTCGTACGGTTTTCGAAATATCTCGAATTTCGGCTTTGCCCCAACTCCGGCATTGCCCCAACTTCCCCTACGTACGTACGTGCTCACAAGCTGTACCGTGACGAGACTAAGATGATCTAGTTAACTCCCGTCGAGGGACAGTCAAATAGGAAAGTGACATCTATCTGGACATTGTTCTAAAGTATACACCTCGACGCGCAGTGGCGGATCCAGGTGGGGGGGGGGGCAAAATGGGCATTTGCCCCCCCAAACGGCATAATTTTAGCATTACGCCTATGGACGATGCATGGAAAGAATCGATTAATTGTTATGGTTTGCCCCCCCCCGAAAACTCTGAGCTGGATCCGCCTCTGTAGACGCGCAACAAAGCAATTTAACCACAGCGGCATGACATCTTTGCAATATATCATTTCTGTTTGCAAAAGCATCACCAAAAAATCACGACTTCAGCAGCGCCGTTTTCCAGAACTGTTCGGTGCCGGCGAAGGTAACCCAATGAAATAAATCACAACAGCAAATACACTGAGGTGTATTCACGACACACAAACCTTGTGCCATTCAGTGGATTTACAGAGTATTCAGCCTCATCTCGCTGTGAAAGGGAAGCGTGTCCGCTCATCAGCTGGGGGTCACTGTCACGCCCCCTAACCCCTACAATTTACTCTGCAGCCAGAGCATGCATGTAGCTGTTGTGCCATCCCGTCGATTGGTACCTCATCGGACGCTAATCCTTGAGAACGTACACTAATCGTCGGGGATGAGGGTTAATAGGTAGCGCTGTCTGGCCAACATAGCATTACACGGTGCCAGCTCAGTGCTGGGGCCGGCGCGCGGGGCCAGGGGCGGCCTTGGTGGCACTTGATCCTCCCGAAATGCACATTATAGGAACGCCGCCGTTAGCAGCCTTCTTGGCATATCGATGCAGCTTCCATGAGATATAGCAGATTGGTGTTAGCGGTTGTGGCATGTGGCATTCGTGGAGTATTTAATTTAATAACAGCTTACGCGTTTATAAGATTGGCATAATCCGATCGCTAATTTGCCATTTTTGCTGTACCTATTTCATTTGTTTTGAGCATTGAACATACAACTTAATTGTTTAGTTACTCGCACAATAATCCATGGAAATACTTTATGAGCAGATATTGCACATGCGATGTTTGTTGCCAAGGCCGTGGCCGATTTGGTCAAGGTGTAACTCAAGTGGGAGATTTACGGCGACAGTTTGCAGCCTGTGACACAGTCCCCCTCCCCTGCATCCTTCACCCCTGGGGTGGGCACGGTGCCGAGCGCGAGCCGCCGACCGGCCACTGCACGTGCACGAGCCTAATAACACACTATGGGCCACTCCGTGACCCAATGGGAGTTGTCACGACCGCTACATCAATTCTCCCTATAAGATAAGCAGGCATTATATAAACCAATGAAGCAAGAGATAAGTAAAAGTGACTTTGGTGAATACATTCGACGAAATATTACGAGGTGAGTGCGATAACGCATCAAACACACACCACAATTTTACGCGAGAAGTGTTGCCGGTGCTGAGGCAATCGGCGCTGACGTGCTACCACTCAAAAGTCTCGGTGCCCCGAGGATTATCCCGTATGGAAGCCGTCAGACCACTTTGCCCGATACGGCCAATAGATTTGCGCACGTGCGGCCGCCGGCGACCTTACCGGTCACCTGACGTCACTGCCACCCTGTGTGACGTCACGTCAGCTGACGTTACGTCACCACTCACCTGGCAGTCCGCCTCGACGTCAGCGTAGAGGCCCGGGTACTCGTACTCGTCGCAGTTGAAGGATGTCGGCGGCCGCGCCAGCAGAGTCGGATAGTCCACCCCTGGCGAGACGCGTCAGAGTTCAGTGAGGTCACTGTGGCGTCACAGTTTGTTAACAATATCACATGACGATAGTAGCAGTGTAACAGTCGCTGTGCACTATGCAGTTATGCACTTGTGCATTAAGTTAAGTAACGAGCATGGTTATCATTACCATCATGAAGAATGCAATGATATGCCTTGTGCTAAGGTTTTTACTGCTGCTGAAGCCAACCAAAGTCATTGCCATCAATTACAGAACTGTAATGTCAGTTGCTGGAATCTTCTCCTGCAGTTATTGTCGCCTGAAAAACACGCTTGCAAAAATGCATTGCTAAATTGCGGGTCACATCGTTACACCATATCTGACCGAACACTTTCACGCCTTTGGGTAGTTGCCAGTTTTTGAGTTGACGGATACCTTACAACTCGCCGGCGTTCTCGAGTCATAGCTCACAATACGGCAGAGGATGCCATTTCCTCTTCTATTATGTGCCCCACCTATCATTCTATTCTCTGTTCAATCTTGTATGCTTCTCCCTCTCTTTTGGGACCCGTCTAGACAGCTTGTGTAACGCAGCTCTCCCTGCAGCAGCAGCCGGGCCCGGACCACTAAGCCGAGTTGTGGGGCCGTGCCGGGTGGAGGCGGGGGCGGGGGCGGGGGCGACTTACGGGCCTCGCCGATGATACAGTCGCCGTCTGGATCGTCGGGAGTGACGCGACAGAGGGTGTCCTGTGCCTGGGACGAGCCGGCCCAACAGCCGACCAGAGCCAGGAGCACCGATAGGCGGATGGCGGCGGTAGACATGGCTGGAGAGCTGTCGTATGGAGGGAGACCGTCAGAGACAGACCGATAGACTCAGACTTGGACTAGTGATGGTCAGAGGAAACTAGCAGACAAGACAGGGAAGGTCAGATGAAACCGTCAGACAGGGACTGAGGAGAATCAAAGGCAAATCATCAGACTGGGACGTGAATGGTCAAAGAAAAACCATCAGACAGTATGTATGTACAGGGGACTATCAGAGAAATTTACCGACCAGAACAGAAGGAAGTAGATAAAAACAATGGAGGGGTCAGGGGGTTTCAATGAAAAATAAGTACCTACAGGAGACCACAAGTGACTGCAGCTTTGTCAGTACATATTAGCCGTTTTCACGACGGGCTATTTGGCGAGTGCACCTAATTTGACCAAATCTGCACCTTATCTCTTTTACGGCAAATATCTTCATCTTTATTTCAGTGTTTTGATCGATGATACTCTCTGATAATATGACAAAACAGGCATATAAGCAATTAGCGCAACCCTAACTGATAGCTACTGAGAGATACACTGAACCTAATTTGACTAAATCTGCACCTAACCTGTACCAAATGTGCACCAAATGTGTACCAGATGGCCGTCGTGAAAACGGCTATTGTCAGGCTGCGTAAGACAGTGTCAAACAACCAGTAAATCTCGCTACTGGAACCGCATTCAGAACAATGCAACGATATAAGCATGCAGATCACACACTGGAATAGAAGCCGGTCAAATAAATCCTGTGTGGTACGACAGGACAATGTCAAACCGCAGATGTTACGTCTTAGATGGCTACGCAGATGTAACGATCGGATGCTCGGATCGGTATCCATCCGTGAGACAATGCACTGCCCGAAAAACCAGTGCAAGTGGACATACAAGTGCTACAAACTGGTTTGTTCAGTCTGGTGTAAGCCACAGCCAGTCATTGATGACAACACTCAGACAAGGAAGTACATAAACAGGAATTAGCATTTAGCAATATTCATTTTTGTTAAAGCTAGTCAAGTTCAATGCAATTAAGTGGCATTGACAGGACGTGCATATCTTTGCTTTAAGAAACTGAAGTGACAAGAGTTACATAATGATAGGTATAAGGCAAGACAAACAATGCCGTAATTCCTTTGCGATTGTATCGATAATTAATATACGATTGATAAAATGTTCAGGATGCATTTGGGCAGTTGCTGTGCATAGCACATCCGAAACACTCAGATCTATCTTATATGTAGGTAATAAAGTGCCGTTGAGATTTCGCGGTGATTGTGATGTGCGAACCGTGGATTTCACACACCTTACGTAATTGCCAAGGCGTTTAGACGAACTGTTCAGTTCGGCTCCATATCAAAGCATACAAAATCTTATCATACAATCAACAAAGCATACAAAATCGTAACATACAACGCGCAAAACCTACAAAACAGGCCGGGTAGGGGACAGTCAAAACATACAAAAGCGCAACATACAAAATCGTGTCATACAAAATCGCAAGGTACAAAATCGTTTCACACAAAAGGCAGTGGAAAATTAATGGCATTAATCAAAGTACGCATCATACAAAACCATTTCATATCAATTCTTATTATTTCGTCGTCCTTGAGATGTCAATTTTCAGTTGGATCAAAACCTACAATCTCAACTGCGCTTCAAGCGACATCTTTGTTAGAAGTTTTCGTAGTTACGAAATATTCCGCTAGATGCCTCCTCTGTCAAAGCACAGACAAACTTTGCACGGCCAGCGTTTTTTGCTTGTTTATACAGTGAGCGCTGGTCTCGAAGCGACGGGCGTCCCGGTGGCGCCGTCGTCCCCCTCCCTCAGACTGGGCAAGGTCTCCCCTCCCTCGGCAGACGGCGCGGCCCCAGAGGAAACGGCCAAGGCCGTGCCTGACTAGTTACATTCTCGCTCCCTGCGGGCCGGGGAACGAAGTGGCGCTTGGTACATAGAGTTGCATTCTGCTTATTTTGACAATAGCTGCCGGAACATAATTCGTAAATCAAATTGAAAACTGCAAATGAAATTCAAATTACTTAACCCTCGCCCGTATAGGGGGAGGGGGATCGAACGGACCGATTCAACTTTCAGTACCCTCGAATCAATCAATTTTACACCTACCCCTAATATTTCATGATCCTTTCCCAAATGAACGTTGACCTGTGGCCTATTTTTCGAGACCATGTTTGGCCGGAATCGCGATCCGGCGTATGTCGGCTCGTATTACCGCGCGTTTGCAGTCTTTTTGCGGTTTCAGGCGTTCAAACATGTGATATGATACCGGTCCCATGCATTATGGTGGGCGTCAAGGTCACCTGAAGGTCAGGTCAGGTCACTGACCTTTGATGACCTCAGTTCACTTCTTCGAGTTTTACATGTTTCTATGCTAGTTTTAGGAGCTGATTTCGAATTTAGCAACCATTTGAGCATTTACGAAGTCGTTTTGGTGTCTTCGTAACATGTTACGAAGCTGTCAGTAACGGTTGACACGTACTAGCATTGAATACCTGGCAGGATGTCTACTGGTTGGCCTAACCTGACCTGACCTGACCAAGCCTAAATGCATTAAGACATCATCTGTGATCAAAACTAACATGAAATTCGTGATCAGCATCCCGAAAAAACCGTAGCAACCTCATTTTACGATGTTCTAACAGGTCCCGATTTTCCCGACTTTTGGGTCATTGACCTGACCTGGAAAGTCAACCCAATGACCTAGGACCTTAAAATTGGGTATCACCGGCTTCCTCTCGTCACGAGCAACACGCTCGTTTTTTCTCGAAGCTCTAGCTCGATCAGGGGCCAAACGGCAAGGGGGGTTCCAACGGACCCCCCATACGTTTGAGGCTAGCAAAACACCAATACGGGCGAGGGTAAAACCGGCAGTTGCTGGAGTATTTCGCCACACACCACTTGCTGGGTGGGGGGTGGGGGGGGGTGGGAGGGGGGTAACTTTCCCAGCCCATAGCTGGAGAACCCATAGCCCATAGCCCATAGCTCGAGGCGCAGCGAAACGGGCGAGGCAGCAAACAAAGTAACGAGACGAGACGCTTCTGATGAGTACCTTTAAGTTGAGTTCCGAGGTCTCAGGTCGGTTTAAGATTATTTCAAACACCTGAAATTAGGCTTTTAGTAGCATGGACTTTAAACCTCAAACTATAGGCGTCTCTCGTAACAAACTCTGTCAGGATTACGCACAATCTTTCATCTGAGTGCTACACAAGCGTCAGATTTCACTGAAGGTAAAATCGTGAAAAATCCAGAAAAATCCAGGACCAAACATCAAACAATTAAATTTATGTCACGTGAACATCAACAGTACGCCATCAAAAATAGACGAATTGTCGGCTTTTGTCAACCACAACAGCATCGACACTTTAATGACAAGTGAAACAAAACTAGACGACTCCGTGCATCCTAGTCTTTATGAATTACCCGATTTTCACACGCCTTACCTGCACAATAGAAATAGAGACAGTGGTTGAACGGCGATATATGTGCGGGCAAACCTGGCTGTCAAAAGACTAGCAAATTTAGAGCTAGAAGAGGAGGACTGGGTCTGGGCAAAGGTTTCACTGAACGGAACATCCATAGTAGTTTATGGTGTATATCTTCCACCAGGTCTCTCAGCCGAAAGACTGGACGAATTCAATTGTAGGTTCATCGAAAGTGTTTCTCTTGCCAACTCGCTTTCACCACTAGCAATATTTATACTCGGGGACTTTAACACTGGAAATATATTTTTAGAAAACAGTAGCCATTTAATCCGTCACAGTAGAATCACCTCTTTTGATACTAAGTTTAGTCACACACTAGATACGCTAGAACTCACTCAACTTATCTCATCACCAACAAGACGCACAGAAACAGTCGCAAACCTGAGAGACCTAGCAATAACCAACAACAAAGATATCGTTACAAGCTCTGGGATTCTGTCCTCATTTGGCAACATGGACCACTTCCCCATTTACCTGTCAACTAGCCTCACATCATCCACTTCACCTACACAATCTAGGACGATCTGGGACTACAGCAAACTCGACGCAGACAAATTGACCAGACTCATACAGACCACAGACTGGGACGAGTTACTTAACCCGCGCCCCGCTGGGCTATTCAGCCATACGCGCCCTGCTGGGGGGGGGGGCAGATTCTGCCCCCCCCCCTGTCTAACTTCCGAACCGATGGTCGTAGAAAGACGGGGAAAACGGCAATCGAAAGCTCTCAACAAGGCGGATCTTAAGAGCCCAATTTTTTTTGCTTAAGTAAGTCAGAGGTCAGGTCAAGGTCAGGTCAAGGGTACAAAATGCAAGTTTCTACAGTATCGGCCTTGCACCGTAGTTGCCGAAGAATGGACTGAGACTGCTTGCCCAAAACGTGTTCTTAGACTACCAAGACAATATTCTTTGCATACAATGTCATTCAAAGGTCAAGGTCAAGGTCAGGTCAGGTCAGGTCAGGTCATCAAAAACAAAATATAGAAAAGGGCATGTGCGACACATGTTTTATGGGTCATTTTACTCATAGAATTCAATAGGCACACTCAATAAGTGATATGGACCACCTCTGGATGAATTTCAGGTCGAGGTCAGGTCAAGGTCAGGTCAAGTGAGGTCAAATTTTGAAGTTGGTTGTTAAGGCCTAAAAAGGTGTCTATCTGATGCAGTTTTTCACGGTGAATCGAATGGTGCTATTTTTGTTCCCATACGAGGTCTAGAACTTCCAAAAAATTCATTTGTCAAAATTTTTGTGTGTCGTGACGTCATAAAATTTTGAATAACTCCCACATTTTTGAACCGATTCTTCTAAAAATTGGTATGTAGGTGCACATAGACCACTTCTCTGACATATATTCCGGTTTTTACGATACACTCAAAATTTTGGAATTTATAATTATTTTCCCCAAAAAGTCAGTTTTTTGAAAAAAAAATTGGGCCAAAATCCAAAATTTTCAAAAAACCGAGATAGCCATTTGATAGACAAAGTAGAATCACGTATAAACTTTTTTGTTACGTCTTGATTCC